AAGTTACTGCAGCTCAGTTCTTAGAAACAAACAAGCGGTCTATCCGCACATATTTGATTCTAGTGTTGAAGCATTTTTCTGTATTTTTCTTTTCCCGGAAAGTGAATACAGAAAACTAGTCCACATAGAGTTGTTCTTCTCCTAAACTGTTTACCAACAGAATTCCAGTGTTTCCAGCTGCCTTTTCATAGCTGTGTGCTCGTATAGTATAAACTTAAAATTCGACAGGAAGTCAAAAAAGCAGTAAAGCAATCCCTCGATTATTATGCATTCCATCAATGCCTTTTCAATTAATGCTCTAATTTTTTTTATATTCCAAAATTCGATTAGTGCATACATAATACTCGGTTAAAGCGGTTAAAGCGGTAAAACATTCTTCAGTTTAACCATAGCAATTGAAATTTTTTATAGTTATGATTAATTAAACATTTCTAAATTTAAAAATGGAAAATCAGTAATTTGGTTTGTTTTGTTTTACGACATATCAACCTCAATGGGTCATTTTTTTCCTGGTAATATTTTTGTTTTGTCAAAAATCTATTTCTGTTAATATTTTGTTTTCCTGAAAAATGTATAGCTGATAATATTACTTTTTGAAAAACATATTGCTGGTAATATTATTTTTCCAAAATGTAGAGCTGGTAATATTATTTTTTCAAAAAAGTACAGCTGGAGATCAAGATCATAGCTGGGACCCTAAGTGGGGGGGGCTACCTCCTGGGTCAGGGTGAACTCAGGAACAACACCAAATAAGGGGCGGTTCCACGCTCCTCAAAACCTCCTGATCAGAGGCCTTGCTGCTGGATGCAGTTTATCGTCATACCCAGGACGCGGGAAATCGGTAACTATTTCGTTTGTCAAGTATTACGTTATTTAATAACAATAGTGTTAAATAATTGACTCTCATACCATTTTTTATAATACAATCCGATAATAAAAATAACTATTTAAATACTTGCCGCTATTAAATTGTTTGAATATTTTGATTGTTTTTCATTTTATTTTGAAGGTATTTAAAAGAAATTTCTGATCGTTTCTTTAAAAAAATATTGATTTATTTAGATACAGAAATTTACATTTATCAAAAAATACGGAAACATAAAATATGCATTTACTATAGAAACATTATAAATAAAATTTTCATGTTAAAATACCATTATGTTATGTTTAGAAACATTGAAGGATCAAATTCTCAGTACCATATGAAGAACAGAAGACTACAATGCGGCAAAACGCTCTAAATATGTTTTTCATGAAATATCAGATTAATATACATTAATTCATAGAATTTTATTGTATCTTATTACAAGCAGCATAGCCCGGCGTTGCCCGTGCTTGATTCAAAAATCGTACGACTCATACAGCAATCGCTATCACTTGACAAAATATTTTTGCCCTTCCTTGCCTTTAAAGGAGTGTCCTTTGCCGTGCTGATGTTGCTATAAGCCTTACTTCTTGCCTATCTCACACTGCGAATTTTTTTCTAAGCTCTATACTAAACATTAAATTTGTTACGAAGAAAGAACTAAAGAAAATGAACACAAAACGATCAGCTTTAAAAAAGGACTCGTAACTGGAAAAACGGAATGAAAAAAGAATGTTAACAACAAATACTTTTTCACATCTAACGCAGTTCTGCGGAATCAGAATCAACGTTGAGTTTAAGCAAGCGAATGAGCCAATTGGTGTAAAGTGGCATGCAGATTTTAATTTTTCCCACTTGTGACGAATGCAGCTATCGATTTTATTTGCATGCTATCATGCTAGTTAACATTCGTGTCAGTCAGGTGTTGGCTCTCACGCTGGCCAATAGAATCTTACTGCCTATTCGTGGCAGCCAGCTATTGGCTCTCACACTGGCCAGTACAAAATGGCCCCAAACTACATGAAAACTGCCGTAGAAGCATGAAAAAATCGATTATTTCCACTATCGATGGAAGTTGGGAAATGCAATGTCGGTGTTGGCCTTGCCGCTAACTTGGAGCATGTGCATGTAAATTTTGGTGCAAATCCGTCGAAAATTGCGGCCGTACATTCGTTACACACACACACACACACACACACACACACACACACACACACATCCTGCCTTTTATAGATAGAGATATGTAGCTATACTTAAATTAAAAGGTACACCAATTAAAAAATAATTGTAAATTTGAGATACTAATTACATCATTTCGATGTTATATTCGATTAATGTGTTTTCGATTAGTACGTGTCTTTGAATGTATGCATTAACCTCACTAATCGAGAGATTCCTATATTTGCGTGTGAATAATGCTGATAGGCTAAGACTGCTTTAAAAATCGAGCTCAGATGTGGCGACGATGTATTATTACGCCTTCGCTCTCCATGCATTCGACGTTGTGCAAAGAAGATACAAGGATTGATACTACTTGACACTGGTTTCGTTTCAGTTGTTGACAGAACCATGTTGAATTTAAAGTCGATCCGCCCCCATACTTTAGACATAATTACAGATAAATTGCGCCAGAAATTAAAAAAGAAAGAAAGAATATTTGCATGTTAATAATATTAAGAATATAGCGATAAGGATTAATACTAAATGGGAACACATTGAAAACGGGAACAATATGTGAAATTCCAAAAGAGAAATGCAAGGGAGAGGATGAGGAAAAGTAAACAGAAAAAACGGTGGAAAAGAAAAGGTAGAAAGCTGTAAAAAAAGAAAGAAAGAAAGAAAGAAAGAAAGAAAGAAAGAAAGAAAGAAAGAAATAGTCGAAGGTAAGAATTGCCTTCTCATTTCGACCGCCATGATTCGGGCGTGTTTAACTTCTCTCCAGGTAGTTAATAACGCGTTTGAAATTCTGTTGCTCTTCTGCATGTGTCAAAAGGCCGCAAAGCGACCATCCTAGCTGAATAGTCTGCTTATCTCGTTCCCATTCAAACAAATCAAGAACAGACACATCGGCAATGTCGAATACCTTGTCAGACGTTTGAGTGTTTTTTAACTGCGCGCCTGGGCAAATAATATTACGCTTTTCAAATTTGCGAGAACGAGGTCATTCGAATTCTGGAAACGAGGCAGTCAGCAGAGCGAGAAAGTTAGAAAAAAAGAGTGGAGGAAGAAGAGGACGCAATATATTCTATTCTCTAGAGGAATGTTATTATCTAAAATACAGACAGATTGCTTAGGATATAATTTTACTGGGGATTTTATTTGCTCAAATCTGATGCTTCTGCTTACTAATAGCAATTTTAACTGAAATGTCTGCTGTCATTTCCTCTATAAAAACTAACTCATAAAGTGTGTCAGATTTTTCACATATAAATTACCAACACACAGCGTTATCCTGTGGAGCTATTCACCTGGCAAAATTGTGTAACTATAATTAGGTTTTACTTTGATATATTTCATACGTGGTTTTGACTGGTTCGTTTCCCGTCCTTTCTCGTAATGGCAAATTTTGGAGTGAATTATTGATTGAGAAAAGTAAGCTTGATTTGTTTGTTAATAACTATCGTATATATATAAAAAAAATCATCTTGTAGTTTTCGAATATCAAAAAAGAATATGAAGATGAAGAGAGACACATACAGGTAAATATAAACAGACGTACATAAATGTAGATAAATAGCTAGATACATACATATGATCGGATTAAGAGAGACAAATATAGGTAGATATAAACAGACATATATAAATATAGATAGATAGATAGATAGATAGATAGATAGATAGATAGATAGATTAAGAGAGACATATATTAGATATAAACAGACGTACATAAATGTAGATAGATATATTATGACAGTCAGATAGATATGATTATGCTGATACAGATATGATTAGACATATATATATATATATATATATATATATATATATATAGAGAGAGAGAGAGAGAGAGAGACAGAGCAATAGAGAGACAGAGGGAGAGAGAGAATGAGATATTTACTTTGCTGCAATGAAAGTAAGAGAGATTTGCCTTTTAATATCTCTCGAACTGTTAGTAAATCGTGAAACGAATTAATATATTTATTGCTTTTAAATAATTCATTTCGTTCTTGTCTCCATTTCTACACGTATTTAATCACGCTCACCACTGGTCACACGTGCCTATAGAGTGTTGAATCTTTTCCGCTTTCTGTGATCCGCTTAAAAATCTTTAGTTCAATGAAAGGTGAACAAAACTTTCACTTCTTCGGCAAAAAAAATATTTCTTCGTATTTGATATTATTTAAAAATAAATGCTTTTATGTCGGCTGGCTAAGAGACGTGATGCTATTAAATGAAATAAAATATAGTTGGCTGTAATCATAAGACCACACAAATAAATAAGGAATGAAAGAATGATTGTAGAAAGAAAGGTAAATAAAGAAACTAAAAGATTGAATAATATAAACATCAAAACAAGGATAGGAAGAGATTACACACACACACACACACACACACACACACATATATATATATATATATATATATATATATATATATATATATATATATATTACTGTGACCTAGGAAGGCTTACTGAATGAAGAACAGCCAAAACGGAGGTTGGAAATGAAATGGTAACCTTTAAAACATCAACAAATAAAAAATACCCCCAGCGACGTGAAGTAGGTAAACCACATCTAGCGGGGGACTACTTATACAGCATATTACCCACTCCACCTCCAATAGTATCCAATGTATTTATGAGGATTGTGTCATACGCATTAATGTTCATATGTATGGTATATATAAAAACACACACACACAACACACACACCCCCACACACACATATATATATATATATATATATATATATATATATATATATGAAAAAGAAATATGTTGTAGTGGTTCCAACGAGAGAAAAGTATGTATATTAAAAGAAAGAAGAGGTGCTGCAAATGTTTTTTTGGTTGTAATGTGGATTTATTTAGAAAAAATATTATGCTTTGTTATGTAAAAAACAAATCATAATATTTTTTTCTAAATAAATCCACATTACAACTAAAATTTTTATGGCACCCTCTCTTTTTTTTATATATATATATATATATATATATATATATATATATATATAGAGAGAGAGAGAGAGAGAGAGAGAGAGAGATAGATATAGATATAGATATAATTAAAATAAGTAAATTATAACATTACATGAAAATTATAACAAAAATATGTAATAAAATTACTTAAAAAATAGATTTGAATTTGTAGGTCTGATGAATTGGATCGTATTTACGATTCCAATGGAATAAATTATAACCATGGAATATTAGTGCTTAAACCTTTTTATTATATCCTTACTCTGTCCTGGACATTGAGTTCTACCTGGATTCTACCTTCTTGGAAATATATATATATATATATATATATATATATATACGTATGTATGTGTGTGTGTGTGTGTGTGTGTGTGTGTGTGTATTAACCACTAATATTATGCCTACAAATCCGTTTTTACATTAAGTTTAAAGAAAATTTACGGTAGATTCCTCTCTGTTGCCATCTAGACTCGATTATATTTCTTATTTTATGCGTGTAGTATTGAGTTAATTGAAAAGTGTTCCGTTAAACAATGACAGGGTATTCATATCGTGAGCAAGTAGATTTGATTTTTACATACGACCGCGTGAATGTTAATATACACTAGCATGCACGACAGCATAACACGGCCGGCCTGCCTCGATCCTGGTTTGTTCCCGCGATTGTTGCTACTGCCGCCTATCAACTGATGGCTCTCTGCTTTCCGCTTCGTTCTTTCATTTGCTTCTGTCCTTGATCACAGAGCGCTGGATCGGATCGTGGAAGAACCGTACTGCAAAAGCACAAAGAACGCTTCCGTTGACGAAAATAAAAATAACATAACTGAAGAATATCACCGGTTAATTTTTAATTGGTTATATAGTTTTTTGATATAACAAATTTAACCCTTCCTATGACAGTTTGTCTTTTTCATCTAAAGCCTGAATAGGCTTCAATCAAGGAAAAGTGAAATCAGTCAGGAAATCTCTCGGCAGCAGGTCACGTGGGATTCAGCAGCTCAATCATCCGCTGCTATCTTGTCTCTTCTGCGCCTCTTACCGTCTCCTGCTCTAACTTCTGATTCGCTTAAGCGCTCTGTTCATGTATATTTCGCCCAACTTTCTACTGCACCTCAGAACTCATCAATATTCAAATCAATTATTTTCTCCAGTTATGGAGAAACGACACTGACCTTCAAACGGTGCGTTATTCAAAACAATACATTCTTCGAAAACAGACTTTGTTTATCATTCCTTTCTATATCTTGACGACAATCGGCCCGCGATCGGTTACTTATTCAAAACAATAATTTTTCCAATGACAAACTTTGTGTTTACAAATTATTTCTGTGTCCTTGATGTCAAAGAATTCGCTTTGCTGATGATTTTCTAATATGACCCATATAATTTTATGCACATTTTCATATATATATATATATATATGTGTGTGTGTGTGTGTGTGTGTGTGTGTGTGTGTGTGTGTGCGCGCCCGCGTATGTGTGTGTGTGAGTTGAGTAAAATGGGGAAAAAAACGATGACAGAAAGAAAGAAAGAACGAGTTAGATATATATTAAGAATGATACATAATCATATATAATAGACGTGTTGCTTGGCCAAATATCGATCTCCCAAATATAGATTTTTCGGAGGAGAAACACTCCAATATCACCTCATTTGCCTTTGATGGTTAAATCAGACGCCAACGAAAAACGGGCAGATTAATTTGCAAAAAATATAAAACTCCTCAAGTGAAGTTCACTTGCCTCCCGTTACCGATGGATTCCGTATACATATTAATTTTTTCTAAAAGCTACATAGATAGATCGTAATACTAAGAGGGATATTAGTATAAAAGATTTTAACCATCTTGAACTAATCATATGATGGAAGGTGTAACAATCCGACGAGAGAAAAAAAACTGTTCACTAATAGAAGGAAACAGAGCTACGACTCTGTTCGCCTAAGTAATGGAGGTCAAAAAGATATTTAATAAAACGTTATTTGCATCTAGTGGGTATATTAATTTCTCTGCTTCCGGCCTGAATGTCCGAGAAATTTTCATAGAAAATATTCATTCTTTGACAGGATTCGAACCTGCATCCTATACGGAACCATCATTTACGCTGACGTGCCTTACCTCTAGGCCACAAAGAACCTTTTCGGTAGACAAGGTCGAATTTACTGCTTATGTTCTTTGTGGCCCAGAGGTAAGGCACGTCAGCGTAAATGACGGTTCCGTATAGGATGCAGGTTCCAATCCTGTCAAAGAACGAATATTTTCTATGAAAATTTCTCGGACATTCAGGCCGGTAAATGTTATTTAATACTGTTTATCATAAACAGAGCATTTGCTTAAATACTTGTATCTACAAATAACAACGTTAAACATAAAAAATGTCTTTAATAAATAAATTGTCGGACCTTGTCCATTTCTTAATATATACATATATATATATATATATATATTACATTGAAATCGTAATCACGATCCAATTCATCAGATCTACAAACTCAAAAAGTAATCGGAAAATATAACTTTATATTTTCCGATTTTAAAATATTAATTAAGCTAGAGTATAATTATTTTATGTATATATATCCATATAAATTAGGAGGAGGATCTGAGATAATTAAGTAATTTATCGAGTCTAGAAGAAACATCGACAGAATGCAGAAAGCACTCAGCGACCGATTTGTTTTATATTTGGGACTCATCACCAGCGCGCATCCACTACTGAGGATTGAAATCCGGACAGTTACATTATCAGGTAAACATCGTACTAACTGTACCACCTTGGGACACGGTGACGATGAGGTAGCGAATTAGACTGGATATAGCGTCGTTCGATCACATATTCCGTCGTGGAACTCATATATACTGCAACTGCATCTACTGTGAGTGGTCAAAAGAGTTTCTGGAAGGAAAAAAAACATAATCTAGAATGATCAGCAGTTGGAATAAGGCCAGTACAAATATATTCTTGATCTCGATACCTTGGGAATTTTTGCTTGGCTTGAAAGAAATCGAAGCCTCCCAAACAGCTCTGCCTCCGCATTTTCAATCACAAAAATCATTGTATGCTTTTACAGTGCTTTTAAAAATCAACATTTAAAATCCTGATAAACCTTATAGAATGAAAATGATCTCATATTAAACATTAATTAAACAATATATCTATATATGGCATATATCTATTGGTGTTATGCACAAATAATATATATAATCCATTACATTCACTTACGTGCTAATACCCTTGGGAAAGATATGAATCCTTTTCCTCTCCCTCCAGCTATGGGTAAAATAGCAGGACAGACTGGGTTCTATAGCCTTGGATGGCAACTGGTCTAGGAGAAGGACAACTCTGAATTCAAAACCTGCGGAGGGTCGTTTGGGGACCTTGTGGCACTCGGTGCACCAGGTCTCTGTATTCGTCCCTTCAAAAAGTGTGGATGGTCTTGCACGAAACCTTCACCACTATAATCAATTCTCATGTTTTGGTGTCGGGCTGTCAGTTTGCTGGGAACTGATCTGCTTGACCCCTCATACGTCGAATATCGACGGGGAGTGTCGACTATATATATATATATATATATATATATATATATATATATATATATATATATATATATATGCATACTGACCACTAATATTATCTATCTATCTATCTATCTATCTATCTATATATATATATATATATATATATATATATATATATATATATATATTACCATTTATTTTTAATAAGTCAAGACATGCGAAAGAAACAATTAATTATCAATAATTTTAATAAGGATTATTATTCTAGATTTACTT